ACTTGTGTTTTACTTACTATGCAAAAGCATTTGATTGTGTGGATCATAACAAATTGTGGATAACATTGAGAAGAATGGAAATTCGAAAACACTTGCTTGTACTCATGAGGAACCTGTACATAGACCAGGAGGCTGTCATTTGAACAGAACAAGGGGACACTGCATGGTTTAAAATCAAGAAGGGAGAGCGTCAGGGTTGTATCCTTTTACCATACTTATTTAATCTCTATGCTGAGCAGATAATCTGAGAAGCTGGACTATATGAAGAAGAACGTGGCATCAGGATTAGAGGAAGAATGATTAACAAACTGTGACACACTGACAATACAACTTTGCTTGCTGAGAGTGAGGATGACTTTAAACAATTACTGAGGAAGATTGAAGACTACACTCTGTAGTACGGCTTACACCTCCATATAAAGAAAACAAAAAATCCTCACAACTGGACCAATAAGCAACATCGTGATAAATGGAGAGAAGATTGACATTGTCAGAGACTTCATATTACTTGGTTCCATGGAAGCAGCAGCTATCAGACGATGTACAGCGCTGGGCAAATTGGTTGCAAAAAGACCTCTTTCAGGTGCTTTTCTGAAAAGCAAAGATTTCTCTTTGAGGACTAAGGTGCACCTGACACCAGCCATGGTATTTTTAATCGCTTCATATGGATGTGAGAGCTGGACACTGAATAAGGAAGACCAAAGAAGAACTGATGCTTTTGAGTTGTGGTGCTGGTGAAGAATGCTGAAAGTACTGTGGACTGCTAAAAGAACTAACAAGTCTGTCCTTGAAGAAGTGTAGCTGGAATGCTCCTTGGAAGCGAGAATGGCCAGACTTCGTCTCACCTACTTTGGTCATGTTGTCAGAAGAGACCAATCCCTGAAGAAGGATGTCATACTTGGAAGGTGGAGGGTGGGCAAAAGAGGGGAAGGCTTTCAACGAGGTGGATTGACACAGTGGCTATAATCGTGGGCTGAGGTACAGCTGGGATGGTGAAGCTGGCATGGTAGGGCAGTGTTGTGTTGTACACAAGGTTGCTGTGAGTCAGCGATGACTCCAGGTCACACAACAACAACCACCATCCCACCATGCCGGCTCCAACTTTGACTCAGTTGCGTGTGCAATAGGCTGCCTGCGCTTCGGGATCCTAGGTGCCAGGTCCCGCCCCTCGCCGCCTGGGCCCGCCGCGCACGCGCAGTCTCCCGCACACCCGGAAGCGAATCGAGCGACGTGAAGGCGGCGCTGGTTGGGTGACTGTTTTTTTCCTGGCCCCAGCCTGCACACTCTACACTTGGGATGTGATGGCCGCTGCAGTCGTAAAAGCCCCCAAATCTGCCGATGTCGCGGTGAGTCCCGGGATCGCCCTGAGATGGTGTCCGGTCGCTCCGCTGCCGGGTCCCCGTCTGATCCCTGTTAAAACAACGTTGAGGCCTGTGCAGGGCCCCGTCCCCGCCCCCCTACTTCGGGCCTTGTAGACACGGCCTGCCACGTCCTTTACCTGCTTAAAACCCTTCTCTGATGTCCGCATCCCCTCCCGGCCGCGCCGGGTAAAGTCCCCGCTTGGGAGAGGGGTCCTAGCCCTTTGCGTCCCCGCCGAGCCTCGGCCCCTCGGCCCCTCCCCGCGTCCGCTCCCTGGCCCCGGGATCTGCGGACCCCACCCGCTTCCTCACGTCCTCCTGAGTCGCCCAGTCCCTTTCCCTCTCTCTCCTGCCCTCCCCTTCGCACTCGCAGCCTTGGGGAAGCTTCTGAACCCCACCCCACCCCCGCTCTTGGGGACGGTGACCTACGCGTGTTCTTAGACACTCCGTTTTTTTCTGCACAAACTGCCTCCCTGGGGCTGCGCTTGTCCTCGTGTGTTTGCGGTTCCTAATGCCCCCTGGAAAGTGTTCTTTCTGGGCAGTTGTGGTTGAAGCAGTCACCTGCTAACCAAAAGGTCAGTGCTTTGAAAACAGCAGCCGCTCCAGGGAGAGTGACGAGGCAATTGGCTTCCAGTGAGGCCGCCTTCTCCCATAAAAATAGACAGCCTCGCAAACTCTGTGGGGCTGTTCTACCCTGTCCTCTAGGGGCGCCGTGAGTCGGAAGGGACTCCATGGCAATGGATTTGGTTATTTTTCGCTCTCCCAAAATGTGCCTGTGAAATCGTCAGGGTGGGTCCCAGCGTCCAGAATGGTTCAAATACCTCTGGTGATTCTAATTTGCTTCCAGAGCGGACCACCAGGGAGCTGGCTCCTCCATTTCTGAGTGAGACCAGTCTCTGTTGCAGGGGAGCTGGGGGCCCTGCTCTGCATGGGGTGTGGGGTCAGGCTTGTCCGGACCGAAGGGGAGCTCAGACGAGCCTAGATCCCCCTGCTGTAGCTGAGAGTGGGCTTCCCTGGGAGGGGAGGGCAGGACACTGACCCGTTGGTCTCGTGTAGGTTACTGTTCCTGAGTCCCTCGTGGGGCAGGGGCAGTAGGGACTGTCTTTCCCCATGGTGAGGTCCTCCCTGTGTGTGTGTGTGGCTGTGCACAGAGTAGGGCTATACCGATTCTAACCATTTAACAGCACATTGTCCACACTCAGGATCAACTCAAGACTGGTCTTGCCTGAGAAGGAAGCCAGGAGGAGGAGGAGGAGGAGGAGGAGGAAGGAAAGAGGCGTCCAGAATGGCTCTGTCCCAGGTAACTGTCATATTCTCCGTCGGTGGCTCTGTCCCCTCCTCCCTGAAATGCTGTCCTGAGAGTGTGCTCGTCTCCTCTGACTCTGCCAGGTCCTGCCTGACACGGTCGCTCACACTCACCCAGGCCTTCCCTCATCCCCTGTCCCCTCCACACAGGGTCCATCTCCCTGTGACTCAGGGACATGGGCCCTGTGAAGCGGCTCTGTTTGGGACATTCTGAGAAGGGTTCACACCAGGCCTGGGTGGGAGATGGGGAGTAGGCCCCATGGGGACAGTCAGTGAACGTGGGTGGCAGGTGGGGTTTAGGGGCCACATCTGGAGCATCCCCTGTCAAGTGTTAAGGCAAGGGTGCATTTATAAGCTATTTTCATGTATGTGTATATGTTAATATGTGGAAGAGCTGGAGATTCTAGAAACGGAGACTGATAAGGGGAAGAACTCAGTGGTTGGTTTCTGAAGCATTCCAAATAAACAAGTGACCACTGTGTTTCTAGCTCCACAATATTAATGGCTTGGAATGAAAGCTTTTAGAAATAGGTATTCAGGATTTATTGATCTTAAAACATGAAGCTTGGTGCTGTCCAACCTCCTCTAATTTCATGAGGGGGAAGGAGGAACGAGAACAGCCCAATCCTGATTCCTATGAAGTGGTGGTCAGATGTGATGCCACCCTCCAACCTTTTTTACCAACTCTGACACCAACTGTCCCTCCCACAGTACTCTGCTTCTCTGTTGGGTTCAATAATTTGTTGCAATGGCCACACGGAGCTCACAGACAATACTCGTGGTTAGGGGTTTATTAGGGAAGTGACAGATTACAATTCAAGATCAGAAATGACTCAGGATACAGTTCTTCAATCGGGACAGCTTTTTCTCAGCAGTGCCACAGGCACACCTCTCCCTGGACATCACCTCTTGGCCCTGGAGTCTCTCTTGGTTTGCATCCTGCTCACACCAGTGTTACAAAACTCTTTTACCTCTGCTGACTGGTGCCCAAAGAGGCTCCCCACTCCACCAGCAAGCCTCCCGTCAGAAGGCACTCAGCTCCTCACTCCACGGGAGGGAAACCCACTGCTCTCCTACCAGCCTCTTGGTTCTGCTGCCTGTCTCTCTGCCATCTCAGTGCAGGGATCTCGGGTCCAAGGACATGCTCCGCTCCTGGCTCTTCTTTCTTGATGGTAGTGAGTCCTACTTTTCCACCTCTGGCATGGCTCATTTTAAGCAGGATGGCAAAACTGACCAATCCCCACATTAGGGGTCCATATACCTTATTTATTAGCAAGCTATGTAATCCCTTGCTGGGTCACAAACACCTCCCACTTGCCTTGTCCCACCCAGTCATCTGGTGGGAGTCTCAAAGACCACGGCTAGAAGGGCCATATTAAGCAGTTCACTGCACCATGTTGTTGTTGTTAGGTGCCCTCAAGTCTCTGACTCATAGTGACCTTGTGTACAAGAACACAACACTGCCCAGTCCTGCGCCAGCCTCACAATCCCTACTATACCCGAGCCCTTCGTTGTAGTCACTGTGTCAATCCATCTTGTTGAGGGGCTTCCCCTTTTTTTGTTGTCACTCCTCTTTACCAAGCATATCCTTCTCCAGAGAATGGTCCCTTCTGCACCATCTCACTCACACCCACTCACCGCTGTTGAGTCGATTTCGACTCGGAGACTCCCTCCTTGGGTTTCTGAGGTGCTATCTCTACAGAAGTAGATTGCCCAATCTTCCTTCCGAGGAGTAGGGTTTAAACTGCCAGCCTTCTGGTAAGCAGTCAAATGCCTTAGGCGCTACACCACCGGAGCTCCCTTCTGCACCACAAAACCCCCTAATTGTCTAACAGTGAAACCAACCAAACCGAATTCTGACTCACGGCAACCCTGTGAGACAGAACTGAACTGCCCCTTAGGGTCTTCAAGGCTGTAATCTTTTAGACGCAAACTACCATATCTTTCTCCCACAGAGTGGCTGGTGGGTTGGAACCACCAATCTTTCAGATTTACAGCAGAGCCCTTTAGTCACTCGTGGTGTAGTAAACTGTATGGTATGGCTTTTCTAGCCATAAGCTTTGTAACTCCCAGTGGATTACTGGGTGGGACCATGCTCGTTCGCTCTCAGGTATGTAGAACTGTGATGCAGGATTGGTTGGTTTTGCCACTCTGCCAGGCTCAAAATGACCCAATCTCTGACTGTTGGCTGAGAGAGACGTGCTGCTGAGAGAGACAAACTGCTTGGAGAGAGACGCACTGCTTAGAGGGAGACTTCTGGCTGAGAGACACAGAGCATATTCCTGAGCTGGAATTGTAACCTGTTGATTCCCTAGTAAACCAGTAATCGGTGAGTTCTGCGTGGCCCACTGCAGCAAATTGCTGAACGCAGCAGAGAGGTGATGGGTGCCGTGAGAACAGTTGGTGTCAAGACTGGTAAGAGGGCTGGAGGGTAGTGGCATGTTTGGCCTCATAGGAGCAGGCCTTGGGCTGCATCGTGATGGTGATTCTGTTTTCCTTTTGTGAAGTTAGAGGAGGTCAGATGCTGCCTCCATGCCCCTTTAGCACTCCATCACCAGGGTTCCTTTTTCCATGATTACAGCCTAGACAACGTGTGTGGTGCAGGTCTCCTCTGTCACATGGGGTCAGTGTGAGACGGCATCAACTCAGCGTGATGGTAAAATACAACACTTAGCGCTACCTTGCTCCTTTGGTCCCCATGAGTGCATTCTCATCATGGAGGGATGTGGGCCTTTATGGTTCTTCCCTGTGATAAGGGACGTCACAGTGGCTGCCTGTGAGCTCACTGACTTCTCTGAAGGAATCTATGGGTTCCTTCTCAGAAGGATGGCTGCCCCTCTCACTTTCTGTGAAAATAAGAACCCTCCCCCATGACCCCTCGGTGACATGTTTTCTCTATTGCAGGGACTTTTGACATTTAGGGATGTGGCCGTAGAGTTCTCTCAGGAGGAGTGGTCATGCCTGGACCCTGCTCAGAGAGCTCTGTACAGGGACGTGATGTTGGAGAACTACAGGAACCTGGTCT